CCCATCTCTACTAAAAATACAAAAAAAAATAGCCATGAGGCTGAGGTGGGAAGATCCCTTGAGACTGGGAGGTCGAGGCTGCAGTGAGCCAAGATTGAACCACTGCACTCCAGCCTGAGTGACAGAGTGTGACCCTGGCTCAAAAAAAAAGAAGAGTCTATGTCTCTGAAGACTTCATTTGAGTCACCATTCCAACCTCCAAATTTTTTTTGAATTTAATTTAGTTTTATTTTATTTTGCTTTATTTTGAGATGGGATCTCACTTTGCCGCCCAGGCTGGAGTGCAGTGGTGCAATCTCAGCTGACTGCACCCTCCACTTCCCGGGTTCAAGCCATCCTCTCACCTCAGCCTCCCAAGTATCTGAGACCATAGGCACGTGCCACCATGCTTGGCTAATTTTTTTTTTTGAAATGGAGTCTCGCTCTGTTGGCCAGGCTGGAGTGCAATGGCGTGATCTCAGCTCACTGCAACCTCCACCTTCCAGGTTCAAGCAATTCTCCTGCCTCAGCCTCCTGAGTAGCTGGGATTATAGGCACCCACCACTGTGCCCAGCTAATTTTTTTATTTTTAGTAGAGACGGGGTTTCACCATGTTGGCCAGGTTGGTCTTGAACTCCTGACCTCAGGTGATCCGCCTGCCTCAGTCTCCCAAAGTGCTGGGATTACAAAGGTGAAACACTGTGCCCACCCTTGAATTTTAAGTTATGACAAATTCTAGGGAATTCTAGAAGCTCTAGCAGCCACCTTAGGGCAAAAGGTAATAACAAACAATATACAAAGGAGGAGAAAGAAGTCTATGTCTGGCCAGGCATGGTGGCTCGGGCCTGTGGTCCTAGCACTTTGAGAGCCTGCATTTTCTCTGTGAAGTGCAAAGCATGATTATCAGTTGTGAAACAGAAGGGTTTCTGTGACATTTGGTTTAATTTTGATGACAGAAAATATAATACATCTCGACTCCTAACTTATTCGGATTGTTTTGTTTTGAGACAAGGTCTCACTCTGTCGCCCAGGCTGGAGTGCAGTGGCATGATCTTGGCTCACTGCTGCCTCCATCTACCAGGCTCAAGAGAGCCTCCCCCAGCCTCCTGAGTAGCTGGGACCACAGGCGTGAGCTACCACACCTGGCTAATGTTTTGTATCTTTGGTATAGACGGGGTTTCGCCATGTTGCCCAGGCTGAGCTCAAGTGATCTACCTACCTCAGCCTCCCAAAATTCTGGGATTACAGGCATGAGACATTGCACCCGGCACCTCAAATTGTTGTTGTTTTAAAAATGATTCCAAGGCACAAGTAATATTAGGGACTATAGCCCTATTCATATCTGTGTTTGAGTGTTAGCTTCACCTTTGCAAGTTACTTTATTCATGAATCTCAGTTTCTCTCCCTGTAAAAGGGGAGATAGAACAAGTGGGATTATGACAAAAAAAAGATATTTGTGAAAGTGCTTAACACTCAATAAAAGCTGGCATGCCTTCATTATATTAATCCATTTTAACCTCACATAAAGTCCCAGTATTTCCGGGTTTTTCTATGGTACGTCTAATGCCCTCAAGAAAGACGTGTGGGTCCCCTTAGGGTTAGTTACATTGTGCTACAAAGATAGTCTTGCATAATTAGTAATTACAGTCAGCATTTATGATTTACCATATGCCAGACACATTTCATGTATTTTTATTTAATCCTTTCCCAAAACCTTGAGAAACAGATGCTGTTATTATGGTCATAAGGAAACTGGTGAGAGGTTAAGTAAACAGTCCAAGATTGCATCACTTAGTCAAAACAGGATTTGAAGTGAGGTGGTCAAGATCGGTGGTACATCTATATAATGCAATACATAGAGGAAACTTAAATGCATACTACTAAGTGAAAGAAGCCAATTTTATTTTATTTTATTTTATTTATTTTTAAAAATGGAGTCTCGCTCTGTCGCCCAGGCTGGAGTGCAGTGGAATGATCTCGGCTCACTGCAACCTCCCCTTCCCGGGTTCAAGCGATTCTCCTGCCTCAGCCTCCTGAGTAGCTGGGACTACGGGCATGCACCACCATGCCCAGCTAATTTTTGTATTTTCAGTAGAGATGGGGTTTCACCACGTTGGCCAGGATGGTCTCAATCTCTTCACCTTGTGATCAGCCTGCCTCAGCCTCCCAAAGTGCTGGGATTACGGGCGTGAGCCACTGCGCCCAGCAAGAAGCCAATTTTTAAAAGGTTTCTTTTCAAACTACAGTCAGCCCTCCATATCTGTGGGTTCTGCATTCATGAATTCAACCAAGGATCAAAAATATTCTCCCAAAAAGAGATGCTTGTGCCTCTACTGAACATGTACAGACTTTTTTCCTGTCATTATTCCCTAAACAATACAGGATAACAACTATTTACATAGCATTTATATTGTATTGGGTATTAGAAGTAATCTAGAGATAATTTGAAGTATAAGAGAAGATGTGTATAGGTTATATGCAAATACTATACTATTTTGTATAACAGACTTGACCATCTGTGGATTTGGGTATTTGCAGAGAATCTTGGAACCAATTCCCCATGGATACTGAAAGACAACTGTATGTGTGTGATTCAAACTATATGACATTCTGGAAAAGGCATAACTATGAAGACAGTAGAAAGATCACTGGTTGCCAAGAGTTAAGGAAAAAGGAGGATGAAGAAGTGGAGCAGAGAGGTTTTTTCGGACAATAAAACTAATCTGTATGATATTATAATCCTGGATAAATGTCATTATACATTGTCAAAACCCATAGAACGTACAATGCCAAATAAACTCTAATATAAACTATAGGTTTGGGGTAGATAATGATGTGTCAGCCCGGGCACGGTGGCTCAAGCTTGTAATCCCTGCACTTTGGGAGGCCGAGACAGGTGGATCACGAGGTCAGGAGATCGAGACCATCCTGGCTAACATGGTGAAACCCCGTCTCTACTAAAAAATACAAAAAACTAGCCGAGCGCGGTGGCGGGCGCCTGTAGTCCCGGCTACTCGGGAGGCTGAGGCAGGAGAATCCCTTGAACCCGGGAGGCGGAGCTTGCAGTGAGCTGAGATCTAGCCACTGCACTCCGGCCTGGGCGACAGAGCGAGACTCTGTCTCAAAAAAAAAAAAAGATAATGATGTGTCAGTGTAGATTCATCAATTTTAACAGTTATGCCACTCTGGATGTTGATAGTAGGAGAGGCTGTGCATGGAATTTTATAATTTCAGCTCAATTTTGCTGTGAATCTAAAACTGCTCTAAAAAAACATAGAGTCTATGTAAAAAAATCATGAAAGCAAAAATGTCCAATATATTGGTGTCTGGCAGGTAAACCAGTATGGACTGAAAAGAGTTGTAAAAAGTGGGACAGGAAAGCAAGATTAGGACCTGGTAGGGAAGGGCCTTAGATGGCAGAGTGAGCTATCAGGACTTTATCCTATAGACCAGAGGGGGGTCATTGAGGATTACAGAGCAAGAAACTCAGTTAAGAACAGACTATTTTAAGAAAATTCAACTGGGCGTGGTGGCTCACGCCTGTAATGCCAGCACTTTGGGAGGCTGAGGCAGGCAGATCGCTTGAGCTCAGGAATGCAAGATCAGCCTGGGCAACATGGCAAAAACCTGTCTCTACAAAAAATACAAAAATTAGCAGAGCGTGGTGGCATGCACTTGTGGTCCCGGCTACTTGGAAGGCTGAGGCACAAGAATCACTTGAACCGAGGAGGCAGAGGTTGCAGTGAGTCAAGATTGTGCCACTGCACTCCAGCCTGGGTGACAGAGAGAGACCCTGTACCAAAAAAAAAAAAAAAAAAAGATCCCTTTGGCAGTTGTGAGGAGAATTCTGGAAGATAGACTAAAGGCAAATAGATGAGTTTAAAAGTGAGAAGAATGCACAAGAATCTAGGCCAGTAAAGAAAGGGGTGCATAAAAGATCATCCAGTTTTTTGTTACTGACTGGACATAGGGATAAGAACAATGACTTCATGAGAAAAATAAAACACCAATTTTTAAAAGTTGTAATTATTTCACACATTAAGCATTAACTGAATCACTATCATGTGCCCGGTCCTATCAGTTGTATCTCCAAATATATCTGGAATGTATCCACTTCTCTCCATTCCTGTTTCCACCACATTCAACCAAGTCATCAATATTTCTCTTCTAAAAGATGGCAGAAGGCCAGGCATGGTGGCTCAGGTCCATAATCCCAGCACTTTGGGAGGCCGAGGCGGGCGGATCACGTGAGGTCAGGAGTTCCAGACCAGCCTGGCCAACATAGTGAAACCCCTTCTCTACTAAAAATACAAAAAAATTAGCTGGGCATGCAGGCGGGTGCTGGTAATCCCAGTTACTTGGAAGGCTGAGGCAGAAGAATTGCTTGAACCTGGGAGGTGGAGGTTGCAGTGAGCTGAGATGGCGCCACTGCACTCCAGCCCGGGCAATAGTGCGAGACTCAATCTCAAAAAAAAAAGATGGTAGAAGTTTCCTAATTGCTGTCCCTCTCCACTCTTGTGACTCCACACATCAGCCAGTGATCATTTTAAACAAGAACTGAGGCCAGGCATGGTGGCTCCACTCCCAACACTGCGAGGCTGAGGCGGGAGGATCACTTGAGGCCAGGAGTTTGAGACCAGCCTGGGTAACATAGCAAGACCCTGTCTCTACAAAAAATAAAAATTATCTAGGCAAAGTGGTGCATGCCTGTAGCCCTAGCTACCTGGGAAGCTAAGGCAGGAGAATTGCTTAAGCCCAGGAGTTCAAGGTTGCAGTGAACTATAATTACACCATTGTACTCTAGCCTAGATGACAGAGCAAGGCCCTGTCAAGAAAAAAGAGAGAAAGAAAGAAAAGAAAAGAAGAGAGAGAAAGAAACAAAGACACAAAGAATGAATGAATTGGGGTCACTTGCCCTAATCCCTTTGATTGCTTCCTGTTGCAATGAGAATAAAACTTGAACTCCTTATGAGGTCTTACAGCCCTTTGGGGTCTTCACTCTCCATGCCTTATGTACTCACCTCAGTTACTGCCTCTCTTTTCTTCTTCAGGCCTTCACAGAAAAATGACTGATTTTAGCTACGGAGGAAAAAAAAGGAAAAGAAAGACTGATTTATTTCCTTTGCTTACTCCTCCCCAGTCCCCAGATGGCAGCTTAAACAGTTTATCCCTTTTTGAAACAGGTTACACCGGTTGTCCTCCATATTACTGTGCATATGTGTATAATTACTGTACATATTTTTTCACTACAAATACTGTGTATATCCCTAAGATCCTTTATGTTTCACGAGGAGCCAGAGCCTATTTGTACATTCACTACTTTGTCCCTAAGACTTGGCTCAGGCCTGAAGACATATAATAGATACTTGATAAGTATTTGTTAAATAGATGAATATGTTAGGTTGTGTGCTGTCACAGGGGAAACAAAGATGAAATAGATACAGGTTACACATTAGAGAAATTGACCCTCTAGTAGGGGAGATATGATTGAAACATAGATAATTATAAGGCAAGACAATTAACATCACAGGAAACTCTGCAATTCCTGAGGAAGGGGCATTACTTCTAGCCAGGAAAATCCGAAGAAATTCTGTGGACGGAGTTCACTGGGCATTTAATGGAGGGAAAGTACACACAAAGGCATCAGTTTGAGAAAGTGTAGGGTGAATGTGGAAAAAGATGTGTGGATCAATTTAACTGGAGCGCACAGTACACCAGTACAAAAGAGAGAGGCCAGGTGTGAGCATATATACTTACCACATAGATTTAACAATTAACATTTTGCCATATTTGCTTGATAGATAGGGAGGGCGGTAGACAGACAGACAGATAGATGTGTGTATGCATTTCAAAGCCACCACTGGGTGGCTCACATCTGTAATCCCAGCACTTTCGAAGGCCAAGGCAGGCAGATCACCTGAGGTCAGGAGTTCGAGACCAGCCTGGCCAACATGGTGAAACCCTGTCTCTACTAAAAATATAAAAATTAGCTGGACATGGCGGTGCATGCCTGTAATCCCAGCTACTCTGGAGGCTGAGGCAGGATAATCACTTGAGATAGTGCCACTGTATTCCAGCCTAGGTGACAGAGTGAGATTCTGTCTAAAGAAAAAAAGAACTGGAAAGGAGAGGTGACATCAGATTGTCATGGGTCTCATTTGCCAGGCCAAGAATTCTGGTCTGTATTCTGGAGGCAGTGTTAGGTAACAACAGTAGGTCAAACTAGCCTTTCAAAACCTTTTTTAAAATTATTATTCCAAATATACAATAAAAGTAGAAATAATAGTAAACACCTATATACTTACCACATAGATTTAACAATTAACATTTTGCCATATTTGCTTGATAGGTAGGAAAGGAAGTAGACAGACAGACAGATAGATGTGTGTGTATGCATTTCAAAGTATATATCTTTCTTTGGCTGTGTGTGTGTGTGTGTGTGAGAGAGAGAGAGAGAGAGAGAGATAGGGCCTCACTCTGTCACCCAGGCTGGAGTGCACTGGCACAATCACAGCTCACTGTAGCCTTGACCTCCTGGGCTCAATCAATCCTCCCACCTCGGTCTCCCAAGTAGCTGGAACTACAGGAATAGGCCACCATGCCCAGCTAATTTTTTGTTTTGTTTTGCTTTTGTTTTTGGTAGAGACAGAGGTTTAACTATGTTGCCCAGACTGGTCTCTTATCTTTCTTTTTGGCTGAACCATTTCAAAGAGAGCTACAGATATCATAACTCTTCACTCCTACATTTCTCCAAGTTGTAAAGATGTTTTCCCCCATATCCAGCATACCATTATTACAATGAACAAATGTAATAACTAACAACATCTAATACCATTTCAAATTTCCCCCAATTATCTCAAAAATGTCTAAAAGGCTGCTTTTGCAGAACCAGAATCCAATTAAGCATTTGATTGTATCTTTTTACTTTTTTTTTCAAATTTAGAACAATCACCCATGACCATTTTTATGACATTGATTTTCCTTGATCTTCATGTCTTATCTTCTATAAAATAGTTGTTTGTAGAATGCTTCACGTTCTTGATTTATCTGATTATCTCCTTGGGGTTATGGTTCAACTGGTTCCTCCAGCCCCGGTAAACTGGAGTTTAGATCCAAAGCCTTGATAAGATTCACTTTCAGTATTTTTGGCAAGAAAACACCATTAAGTGATGCTGTATACTTCGTGCTGCAGCACACTGGGAACCTCATAAAAATGTTGGTTGTCCAAGGGTTACTGATACTAAATTGGATAACTGGGTTAAGGTGGGGACTGCCAGATCTCCCTGTTGTAAAAGTATGTTTCTCCTTTGTGATGGCAAGTAATCTGTGAAATGTGTTTGGCAACACAACTCACATGTTTGTAGCTATCTACAGTTTATCAAACACATTCAAACGCACTTAATCACAACAGCATCCCTGTGAGGTTTTATTCCTGTTTAATAGAAGTGAAAACTGAGACTTGGAGTGCTTAAATAACTTTCTCAAAGGCATAGACCCAGTAAGCAGCAAAAGCAGGACTCAAGCCTAAATAGATTAACTCTAGTTCGATTAAAAAAAAAAAATCCCAAATAGCCTACATCTAACAGCAGATTTTATTTTGCTCTACACATTCAGGGAAATTCACTAGTAATGAGCTATAGAAATGATCCCTGATAGTAAAAATTGCAGATTTTTAAAGAGCATTCTCTCTCCAGAATTCAATAAATACTGCTCTTCTTTTGAAACCATTTTCTAAAAAAGGATACTTTATTGACACTGGGAAGCACATTGGCAAAGAAAGTCAATTTCTTTTACAGTATCTAATAGCTATTTCTATTGCCTGTTCAAACTAGCAAAATGTAACAGATGCTAGATTCCCCAAAGTACAGCGCTTTGGGCTACATTTGCAACAAGAGCTTACATCTAAATGTTACATTAGTTACTGAATTTGTAATCTTCACAAATGTGTGAATAGTGAGTTGATCAAAAATAACAATTTCCTGCTACAAGAGAAGGTATAGCAGAAAATGTTCCCAACACAAAGATAATGTTTGAGATGATGGATATCCCAATTACGCTGATTTGATAAGTGTACATTGAATACGTGTATCAAAATATCAGATGTATCCCTGAAAATATGTACAACTATATCAGTTTAAACACACAAAAAATAATTTTCTGTCCAAAGTTAAATATGTACAACTACGATATATCAGTTTAAAGATACAAAAAAAGTAATGATTTTCTGTCCAAAGCATTACATGGCACCTATGATGCTAAGACCAAGGGCCTTTAGGTCTGGAAGAGACACATAAAGTCAGGTCCTCGCGAATCTACTTCTGAAAGGGACAGAATTAGTATAGGCATACGACAGTCTAGAATCAAGACACAAGCGGTGTGGAGAGATAACGAGCAAACAGGGAAGGGAACTAGGGGGACCATTGATTCAGGAAGGGGCTGGAGAAGCTACTTCTGGGCAGCCCTGGAATCTCGGTGTCCAGCTTCGAGTTAGAAAGGCGTCCTTCAAGGGAGCCTCAGGCGGGGGCTGACTGCCGAGAGTTACTCTGTCCGCCAGGTTCTTCCTAACAAGAAGCTACAAAGGTCTTAATTCAGAAAACGTGAACACGACAACACACCCATGTCAAAAGAACGCTTTTAAGAGGCCGAGCCACTCTCACCTCCCACCAACGTCCCAAAGGCTGAAACAGGCGGACACGCCCCCAAGCGCTCTTCTCGGATTTCGTTGGTTGCCCCGGCCTGCCCCTCTCTTATTAAGTATCTCTCATTGGTCAGCAATGCCGCTTTCACAGCCAATTCTCAGAACCAATCATCTCCAACTATTGCCTCGCCTCTCCACCACGTGAGTGGCATAGGTGCTAACCAATAAAAAAAGAAAATGAGGATGTAAAGACAAGACTCCTTCCCTTTTTCCTCAACTCGTTCAGTAAATGGTAGAAAATGTGGAGCAGCTGATACCAACCACCAATCCATAAGGGCGGAAAAGGATGATAAGAGTGATGGGAGGGGGTGACGTGGCAGTGACAGGAGCATAAACTGAAATGAGTGGCGGAAACATCAGCCAATCGGCGATCAGATTGGCCGGGCACCCCGCATTCTCTCGGCCTCCCTGAGCGCTGGAAACTTCAGGAAAGCACCAATGAACTTCTTCATATGTCTGATTGGCCTTTATCTGAACCAATCGACGGTGGGCCAGGAGGACGCGTCCCACCCCAAGCTCTCACTGGGCGCTGTAGAATGACAGGCCCGAGAGAAATGCCAATGTCCGCGGGGTCTTCCTCAAGTGACACTCAGCGGCACCAATCGACGTCCTTCTTCCCGGCGGTCGAGCCCTCCTCCCCGCGGCTCGCCTGGCGGGGCGGGGACGCTGCGCGGCGGTGGCTGATGCGGTAGCGTTGTGGGGCGCTCCGGGCGGCGACGGCGGCTCTCGTAGGCGGTTCCGGTCCTGTGTCTCCAGGCGGCGGCGGCTCATGGCGGCGACGGAGCTGAGAGGAGTGGTGGGGCCAGGCCCGGCAGCCATTGCAGCACTTGGCGGCGGCGGCGCCGGTCCCCCAGTGGTGGGAGGAGGCGGCGGCCGCGGAGACGCGGGGCCAGGCTCCGGGGCCGCGTCAGGGACTGTGGTCGCGGCGGCGGCGGGAGGCCCGGGGGCCGGGGGAGTGGCGGCGGCTGGCCCGGCCCCTGCGCCGCCGACTGGGGGCTCGGGCGGCTCGGGCGCTGGGGGTTCGGGCTCGGCTCGAGAGGGCTGGCTCTTCAAATGGACCAATTATATCAAAGGCTACCAGCGGCGGTGGTTCGTGCTGAGCAACGGGCTCTTGAGCTACTACAGGTAACTGCTTCCGGGGCGCCGTCGCTCACCTTGCCTCTCCCATCGCTGCCGACAGTCCCAGCGCCGGCATTACCGCCAGCCGGCACCGCAGCCAGGGGGTTGCCCCAGGCCCCTTTTCGTCATCTGTGCGGATTGACAGCCCGGGGGTCGGACCCCACTGTCACGAAGTGAAAAGCCCCTGGACTTACACCTCACCTTCCCTCGGGTTACCCACTCTTGGTGCCTTATCTTCCCTTCACTCCCGGCCTTTCCAGTCAGCAATTGTTTGAAGAGCGTCTGTTCTTCCATTATATTTCCACCAGCACATGGGTGCAATTATTAATTCTGCAAGCAAGGCACTGGTGTGGGTACTAAGGGAACACAGCAGAGCAAACCCGAGGCACTCCTCCCAAGGAACTTACATTGGAAGTCCCAAGTTTTAGCTGTCAGTGCCCAGTCTCCAAAACTCAAGGTTATTCGTAGCTCTTGATGTGCCCGTCCTTGCTTCCTTCACATTGAGACACAAGGGCATCACTCACACTGGGTGGCTTTGGTATTCCGTCCCCTTTCTGCCTTATCTCTCCAAAACTTTGCATACGCTCTTGCCTCTGGACAGCCCAGAATGGAGATGTGCACCCCAGTGCTGCTTTTATTTTTGCTTGCCCCACTTCCTCCCGTGGAAATGATTAAGTGTTTTTACCCAGTATTTCTGTGATTTTTTGGTTAGTTGGGATTAACATTTATTAAAAGAAGAATCCATGTCTTTGGTATGATTACTTCTGTTCAACAAGGTGTTTTGGACTGTTTAATATATATTTATGGTGACTTATAACTTGGCCATCGCCATCACATAGCATGCTTTGGGGCTAAAAAGGATAGAGGAGTTAAGATAGGTGATTTGGGGACAGGGCGTAGACATTTCCTGAGGGCTGCACAAGGTGTCTAGGTGTTTTATATACAGTATTTCATTACAGTATTTTGTTGACTCCCAGCAACAACCCTAGGAGTTGGGAAATATTCCCATCTTACTGATGAGGGAAACAGACTTAGCATGGGCAACTTTCCCAAGGTTTTGGAGGAGTTGGGATTTGAAACTACTTCTGTTCACACTAATCTAACCTAAAACTCAGGTTAGTGTTAAATGAATCAGTCAGTTACAGAGATAATTGCTTATCAATAGCGAGTAATTTTATGGATCATGCTTACTATGTGTATTTTATGCAAAAAGTATAAAAATCTCCTTTAAGGGATATTTTGCTTAATGACATTCCAATGGAAATATTTTTTTCCAGAGACCATCCTCTTTGAGACCGAAAACACTGATGTTGAAGAGCAGTTCACTCTATATTTCTTTTCCTTCACCAGGAATCATTCTGCCACCCGGAGAGTTAGGCTGAACAAGTCTCTTTTCCATTAACTCCACTGTAGTGGCTCTTAGAGAATTTTGAGGAGAAATTGAAGGTGGGAATTGGAGGTTGTTGGCAGGAACACATTCTTCTTACCTGTCCTCTTACACGGCAAAATGCGTTAGATAGCTCATCCTCACTGCTTCATCAACAGTTGTGAATAATTGTATATGTCATTTGCATTACTGTATTCAGAATTGATTTTAACTATAACCCTTTCTAACTATCCAGGACCATCTATTTAAACTTAGATTACAAATCTAAAATTTTAATTCCCCAGATTTTTCTCTCATTCAAGTTCATGTTTTCCTGTTATTATTGACCATCATTTTAATGTTTAATTGCTTTATATCCTGACTTGGGTAGCAAGTCAATATTACTGTTTTTGCGTTTTCAAAAATTGTATATCACCCCAGGGCCTTCATGTGTGGTCATTTCTCATCCAAGTTCTTACCAGATCCACTTTCCAGGCCAGTGGATTCTTTGATCAGTACTTGTGTTGATCAGTAGTGATCTTAGACACTAATAACTTATATGTTACTGTCTCTTTAAGTATTTGTTACCACTTTTCTCCCTTACAAGAGCTAGTGGTACCTGTCTGAGTACAGATACAAGTCCTTCCGAAACACACCAAACCACATATTGGGAAATATGCCATAGGCCTGCCCTAGCCAACTTAGACGGTCCCAGCCATAAACAAACCAGCGGGATCCAGAGTTATCAATCTGTGCACTACCCTCAAAATTGCACTGAAATACTTCCTATCAAGTATACTGGCAGTTATTTTTTCCTGCAGGGTTCTTCTGGTCCTCATCTTCCTCCAAGAATTACCTAGACAAGTGTCATTCCTCCTGCTTTTCATACCTCCAAAACCTGCAGTTTCTTATATATACTGTTTCCAAAATACTGTTTTCCTTTTAAGTGGGATTGTGTACTTCCTAGACCCATCCTCGGATGAGCTGTCCTAATAGGCCTTGGCAAACCATTTCCTTCTTTTTACCTATCCTGGGCTTCCTTACGTACCCAGTTACTTAGATGTCCCATTATTTAAAACCTTATATGGAATCCCAGCTCTCCCAGAAACATCGTGACAGGCCATAGTATTAGTTTTCCTGGCTGGCTTCTAGAGATTGAATTACTATTTCAGCTAGCTTTTCAGGGAAGAACTTTCGGGTCAGAAAATACCACCTAATATTGTAGTGCCTGAAGAACCTCTCTTGTACCCTGAGATTCGTGTCTTTCCAGCTTCCGCACTAATCATTTATAATCGTAAGTGTATCTGCCCAAACGCAAGAGCTCCAAGATCAAGCCTGCCTTACTCCCAGAGTTCCTTGGTATTTTTTAAACTGCTCCAGACTTTTTGTAATTTGAGAAACTTCTTTAGTTTACAATGATGACCCAGGCAGAAGAGATTCCTAAGAAGTGGTTTGTGAAAAGCTCCAATAAGGAGGAATGTGGAAGAAGGTCCAAGTAGTATCCTTGGAGTAGAGAACATAGCAAGCTGGCCTGTCAGCTGTGCATCTGTAATTCAGCCTGCATTATTCATAATGTAACTGAAGCTTGGGGGTGGGGAGGTAAGAATAGAAAAAACGGATTCATGTTACAGTGTAGCAGGTGCAGGAGATGGAAAATGGCCCAGTCCATTGAGACCCCTCTGGCCTTCCCATACTACTCGTGTGCATTTGAGGAAGGAAGAACAGTTCATGTGAGAAATTGAACAACAACAAACCTGTCTTCCAGACTTTCTCAGACATACCAGATCTTATGGGGTGCGTGCCATTTTTGGCATGCAGGAATTCTGGATATGCCAGGTGTGTTTGGCTGCTTAACTCCACTAAAAGGGAAATGGCTCTGTTTTGTACTGTGGCAGTTGGCAAAGGACTTTGACCTCTGTATTCCAATTTGTACAGGGAAAACTGCAGTCTCAACATGCAGGTTCCTGGGCATAACCAGCGGGTGGTAGGGAAATGACACCGTTTGTGTTAGACACTCGATTGCGCTAGAAGCTTGATATTTTATGTGAAGCTTGGTGTTTTATGTGAAGTGTCTTATAGCTTATTGTCACCAAGTAATGCTGCAAAGTTCAAAAGTTAGTCTATTAATAGAACTGTCAGTCAGTAGAGATCGGGAAAATTTTTACACCCAGGCCTCTGAGAGCAGATCTGCTGAATCTTTCCTAGCTATTAATAGATGGCTTAGGAGTTCCCACCAGTAGAGTATGGTGGACCTTAGGAATGAACATTTTCCAGAAAGATTAAAACACTTGGTTATTCCTTTTTACTTCCCCTGAAAGCTAGTTATTCTTATTTTATATCATTTGAACCATAGCCAATATTTCATACTCTAAACATTTAAGTGTGCTTTTTTACACTTCTGCAATATAATTCTAAGCATGGTGTAACAGTTCTCGTTTGGGCTGAGTTACAGTCAGGAGCGAGATGGTTTGGTATATATAAAATGGAGCTATTCTTAGGAAATGAGACTGTTGCATGAGGTTATAGGGCAATTTATAATTATAACTTGCTAAGTGA